CTATTCCCACTCGAGCGTTCTGGGGCCGTGGGATATCACCGTATCGGGCTGATCTTAACGTATGAATACGCTTTATACACAGTGTAAGCACAAGTGACGTGTCAGCGCGTAGGTGCGCGCGGGCATGCCACGCGCGCGCGCACATGTGTGTGTGTGTGTGTGTGTGTGTGTGTGTGTGCGTGTGTGTGTGTGTGTGTGTGCGCGCGCGCATGCGTGTGAGTGGTGCAGTGTTTGAGCGCGAGGGTGAGTGCCGCGTGGCTTCGTGGTGAGATGATGGCGTTCCCTGATATCACACCCGCAGCTGGTGTGGTAACGTGGCCGGCGGCTGGTCCACCTCCGACCCCCTTAGCCACGGACTTATCAACGCTATAGCCGAACCGCAGTTGTAGCAAAGAAAGACGCGCTGTGTGGACATAAAAGCGGAAGAGGTAGCTGCAGTGTGGTTGATGTGCTGCGAAGGATGCATACTCCATCGTGGCGGACGTCGTGTTTTTCCCGGTTTCCCCAGATCCTGCGAGCTCGATTCAATTATAGATAATTTTGCGCCCCCGTCGATGCAGGGAACTCCGCTGCGGCTTCTTTTCAGACGCCTGATGGTGAAATATGCTGATCCTAAGACGGCGAACGCCTCTCAAGCTTGCTTGCCGCACGCTTCATATATAATTGCTTATTCTCGGCTTGCCTATGGCGGCCCAAGCTTGTCTTAACTTTGACTTAATTTGCTAAAAATAGTGCCTGCTGCGAACGAGCTGCTGCTTAGCACCACAGCGGTAGCTGGGGTTACTTCAGTTCAATGCTCGGGCAAATGTAGGTAATCTCGCCGTGTCTTCGTCTCACACCACAATGAATCTGTGCCGACTCGGATGCACGCTGTTGCTAACTGTGAAGTGGGGGTTCAGCTTTGGGTCGAAGGCTCGGGGAAAGGGCATTCATATCGTTTTAAAACGTTCCTTTCATCGTACCATCACAATCGTGATGTCGACCTTTGCAGAAGTTCGGGGTTCGGCCCCCATGACGAAGGGAAGGCGGACACGCGCTTTGAAGCAGACTGCGATCGTTTATGTATTACCTAGATACAACTTTTGCAGGAAATAAGTCTGGATCTGATCGCTATCTCCTAGTTTGTTACGAACATCCTGCCCCACCAGCCGGGTGCGTCAATGCCAGTTCAGCAACCCATGTTTGCCTTCTAAGCCTCTCCAACGTGCCAACAGTTTGCAAGACTCCGCCCGTGTTTCAGCAGCTGGCTCTTTTGGCCAGCGGCCAACTGACACCGGCCGACCGAACGCCCTTGGGACTCTGACCGGCAAACTCACCAGTTGCCGCTCAGCGGTCACCGGCCGTTAGCCACGCGGACGGCAACCTTTGTAGCATGGAAGGCTGTCTCAGCTGCATAAAGGGCTCTCCTGTTGGCATTCTCGTGACTAAGCGCTCGCCATGGTATTGGTGTCCTAGCTCTGACCAGGAGCGGATCTAGCCATTTTGGATGGGGGGGGGGGGGGGGCAAACGGTTCTTGCAGAATGTCATTCAAAACACAACGTGGCTCTCACACCCACATCCACACCTACTTATATATATATATATATATATATATATATATATATATATAAACTGCGGGGAGCAGGATAAATATGTGACGATAGGCTGGGTGTGAAGCTGAAGTTAACGGGTCTTTGGGAACCCAATAAATGGGATAACAGGTTAAGTCACCTTTCGAAATGGCACTGGGATGGCGGGTTAACCACCCACTAGTAACGGACTGTTCATGCTAGACTCGCAACCGTCGTACGCTGCGGATACGCGTTGACTATTGAAACAGCTGACTGCTCCGGCCGTACCAAAACGAGAAACCTACGCAATAAAAAGTTGGAAACATGACGCGGCATGCACAGAATAGCACGCGCCCAGTCGTTTTGTGGGCTGAAATCTTAATTCCACGGCTTTTGGGAGTATGGTCCCTTTTCCCTACCTCCTCCACCCCTGGATCCGCCGTGGTCTTTGACCATGGCCCCAACACTGAACCTGCCATTGCAGTCTCTTTTGTGATGCTAATGCTTCACCATAACACCCTTTAACGGCCTCAAAAGGCCCCGCATTGACCACGCACAAGGCCTCGGACCGACCCCGACCTACATCACCACCCCGGCGAAGCCAGCCGGGCCTGGGCCCGCTGCCAACACTGCAGCCCGGGCCTCATAACAGCCAGCAGGACGAACCCGGGCGGATCCATACCGCAGCGTCCAGCCGCCGGCGGCGTCGACGGAGCTGGGCGCATCGACACAGCGTCGGCGGGGAGGGGCAGAGGGAGGGGAGGGGCGGCCGGGCCACCTGTGTCGGCGGGCCGGCCCAGTCGGACGGTGACGTGGTGGCGCGGCGGCGGCGGCGGCGGCGGCGGACGGCGGAGGTGGCTGAGCGGCGTCTCGAGCGGCGGCTCGGCACGGCGGTGTGGCGCTCACGGCTTGAACAGCGGCACGGCACGGCAGAGAGGCGCTCACGTCTTGAACAGCGGCACGGCACGGCAGCGAGGCGCTCACGTCTTGAACAGCGGCACGGCACGACAGCGAGGCGCTCACGTCGGTATGGAATGTCTGCGTCCGCTCTTCCAGTTCCGAACCTGATAGCGGTGCGCCGTGCAAAGAATGGAGGATCAGGAATGTACTACTGCGAAAATTCCAAATAGTTGTACTCGTGGCAAACCCGTATCATGTGACTGGCGTCGCGAAATTTCACTGCTTCTGCGGTCTAAAGCAATGTCTCAGCTGGCGCAGCTGGCAGCAGCTATTCAGCGGTTCCTTTTCACAGCGTGTGAGCGGTCCTATCCGCTAACGATAGACGATATGGTATCGGTCTGAGCTGCAGCTAGGCGTTATCGTGCCTACGCCAACTGCGGGTTGCAGCCCTCCCTGAACAAAGCACGATTTAAAGGTATTGCAGCCGTGAGAGAGGGTGATCTACCCGTTATTTCGAAGGCAAAACATAGTTCCCCAGCTGTGGATGAGTCGTCAGGGCAGCTGGATGGTCCGGTCAAGGCCGATCGAGGTTGTTGGGCAATCAAGGTCTTCGCGTCAAAATCCGCTCTAGAAGGGTGACCTTGGACCTAACTACCTACCTAAAGGTTACCTGGTATCTAAAGTTCGTTCGGGGACTAGTTTTAGTACAGTTGATAACTTTCATGAGCAAATATAGTTTATGTTTCGTGCGCTGGACCATGATTGACGCAGAAGTGTAGCCAGCCTCGGCTGAACCGCGAGCTCGGTATTCAGTACGCGCAGCCTCGAGCATTCATAGCAATGGTTATTTTGCTTTCAGTATGTTATCCGCCGATAGAGAGCGGGCGGGTCAGATCTCCTCCCTAGCGACACTTCCCCTGCAAATGGGATCTCTTATTGTATTTGTCCATAGCAGCCATTACGTGATGTTGTTAAAGCTGCATTTCTTTTGAATTTCCGGGCATCACTTAACTGCGGTCGACATCTTATGAAGAAAACCTTAAATTTCCGATGATAAAGCTTATCTTTGACTACTGGTCGAGCACCAGTGCTCGAGAAGGGTAAATAATGATGCTTAGCAATGTTAAATGATGTTCATTGTAATTCGAAATGTATACATGTGCTCTATAACGTATCGATCTCGCCTCAGTGCTGTTCGAGGAATTCGAAACAAAATAAACGACCCTGAAGATAAACGAAACGAAATACCCTTGCCTCAGCATGTAATGGTGTAGATAAAACACAGTTAGCTGCAAGTCATCATCAATACTGAACCGAAGTATCAGTATAAGGACCAGTAAGCATAAAAGCGGTTAGCTACCGCTCGACCAGATGGATTTGTACTCGTGTGGTTTGGAGAGAGTTCGGACAACAAACTTGGCAAGCGCGATATGTTTTTCAATGTTTTAACTGCCCTTGACAGCCCAGGACCGGCGTCCGAGCGTCGATAGTTTGCTTCAGCGCCTGCCGACGTGATGTTACGCCGTCACGCGATGTTCCGCCGTCACGCGCTGTTACGCCGTCACGACTCTGACCATGCATTCACTCAGCGCATGTGCCATGACCAGTGCATGCTACCGACCAATCACACCACAGTCTCCTCTGCCGCTGTTCGAACCTCACGAGGGTTTGTGACGTCCTCGGCCGAAACAAGCTTTCCCAAACAACGGCCGAACCGCGGAGTGCGACGGCCACCCCGTCGTGCAGCCTTGGGCCGCCAGGCTCGCGCGTCAGTTGTGCACCACCGAAATCGATCACGTCAACACGCGGGCGGTTCGCTACCATGGCAGCCGTTTTGTTCGCCTGAAAGGCAGCCGATTCTATCCGTGGGTAAAGGGCTGTTCAGTTTATCGGTGGACGCGATACAAAAGCGAAGTTACGTGAAAATTATAAAGACGGTGAGAATCTATAGCTGGTGATAAGGCTAAGCCGGGTATCGCAAGTAGTAGTCCGCAAGAACCGTATGCACTTACGCACATTGTGTAGCGGGAAGTGCAAGGACGACCTTGCACGTTAAAGGAGCTTTATGAACAATCTTTGTCAAATAAGAGAAGGGAAGGTTCGTGGTTCCAGACTGCCGCTAACTTGTCAGTTCCACGTACATCAAGTTCTTGGCTTCCTGCCTTCCAACGATGCATGGATGAGTGTAGACGGATGTCGAGTATTTTCCAGCCACAAGGTTGGTCCACGCTAAATTCCGGTGGAAAACCCTGCTCGCAACCGAATGATTCACCTGCGGCTTCCCCCTGCGCCTACTTGTGTGCCATATGTCTGCTTTGTTCTTGTCAGACGTACGCACATATGGTTCATATCGTATATCAGCACATATGATGTGTAGGCATTAATGCAGGTAGTTGCATATTTATATGCATAGTAGCCTTTGCGCTGTTACATATATGTATGCCCTGTCGTCTTTGCGCTGCATGCTGCAGGGCCGTGCACTATTCAACAGGCACATGGGTCATTCCAAGACAAACCGACTCCGGTTGAGTGCACCTCAACACGCCACCCCTGTCAAATGTGACAAAGAGGTATATTGGGGTCATTTTATGGCCAAAGCAGGGTTCTGAAAGCTTTAGAGCCGTATGACGTACGGATAAGTAACTAGGAGCTGATGAAAACACGCGATGACGCTACAAATACTGGTTGTAAAATTGCTCTAGCAAAATATATTTTGAGAAGCATAATGTTTTGAATAAATGCATCGATTAGCTGAATACCTGTATTTTCTGAAACATGGGTCAATATAACATTCGATGTCTCTTAGGTACACATTGTGATGTGCATTGGCCTTCGGCCTCATTTTCTAAAAACATAGTTTAGTTTTCTTCAAACCAAAATGCAACTAAAAAAACAATTTATTGACATTTAGAAATGACGAAGATATCAATGGGGACTCTTCTAGATCGACTGCAACTCGAATTTCAACTGTGGGGGACCAGGCACGGCGGCACGCCATAAGCTGGTGTCATGTGTCGGCCGGTGTCGTTGACTGGGCGCGATGGGCTCACTCCGTCGGGAACCGTGACCGCGACCTTGAAACCATTCATGAATATCTTACAACTAGGTAAAATCTTAAAACCTAAAACCTTAGAACTTCTTCC